TTGAATTTTTTCAATTTTCGAATAATTAAGGTTTTTAACCAACTCGTGACCTGTACTATTCTCTTAAACGTTCTTGAGACTATCTAACATCAAAATTTCATCAAAAACGATCGAGACGTTTTTGTAAAAAAAATCTTTAAAACAAATTAAAAATTGCCTATTTCATGCAAAACTACGGGAAGAGAAATCGTTTTCGAAAAAAATGTAAATAACCTATTTCAAAATCTGTCTTCAAGGAACAGATTTTATTAATGGAAAATCTCTCTCTTTTATAATTTAGTTGTAGGAAGACATCAGACAAATTTTGAATCTTCGCAATTTTCGAAAAATCAGAGTTTTCAACGAAAGTGAGTCCTGCATCAATCGTTTAAACGTCCATTACACTAACAAAATTTAATCAAAAAATCTTAACAATTTTTTTGAAAATGTCCCAGCAGTGTCATGTGAAGCACTCCCAATCCTCCAAAATTGAATTGTCGGTTTCGAATTCAGGGAGCCGCGACGTCAGCCAGGCCGATTGGGGAATATCAATTTTGGAGAAAATAGTCGGAACGGTTTAGACGTTAGCGTTGTTCACGAATGGACTGAATGACACGGACGGACAGACGTTTTGCCGTCATTCGATCTTTCGGTATCAAGGATCAAGCATAAAATATACACCTCGTGTTAGAGAATTTTTTCTTCTAAATTTAGCAACTGGATTTATCCCATTTTTCCTTCCCAGGATCCTGTATCTTAAGTTTTCCTGCCAAAAATTCGCCGTTTTTTTCGCGCAGCATTACATAACTTTCTCTCTATTGCGTAATCGGTAAAAAACATTTAAAAGTTCTAGCGATCGGCATTGGCTGAGCGCGGGGCCCAGATTCCGGGCGCAAGCCAACATTCGCGTGTTACGGGGCAAGTCGATAACCTTGATTTCCGTCATTGATATTGTACCGCACCAGATTTTCTTCGAGGATATCAAAGGAAGAGTGTGTTAATTCAAAGAATTATACGTTTGGTCACTTTCATATCCGCCGACTCATTAAAAGAAATGAAAAAATGGTACAAACAGCCGAAATCTTGTTTTTAAATTTATAATTTTTCACGCAAAATTAATACATTTTTTAATATACATACACAGGGTGTATTGGTCCTAGTTGCTTACACGCTGGGGTCTTATTCTACGTTATGTTCATGCTGAAGTTACCAAAATTGAATACTCTTCGTCGTAAATAATTAACGTGAAACTTGGGACTGTGCGCTTGTGCTTGTAGAACTGGGACTACGGCAAGTGAGCAACCAGCTTCAACACGAATCATATATTGCCACTTCTCTGGCTGTCGTGTTGCTGTGTGCTCTCAGTGATTCTCGTACTGTCGAAATGGCATTTATGAATGTACACGTAGACTTCTGCGGGTCGAGTTCATGACTTCTAGGCTTTCCGGGTGACGCCGCGTCGTTGGCGCAGAGGCCGACGTTTCGCCTGTCATATCGCAGGCTTCATCAGGGTAGTGACTACCCTGTCACTACCCTGAAGAAGCCTGCGATATGACAGGCGAAACGTCGTCCTCTCTACCGACGACGCGGCGTTACCCGGACAGCCTATAAGTCACGACATTTACGAATCCGCCGGTGCTCGTAATTGCGGTTCGGCGGTGCCGAATGCCGCGACATGATTTTTGTCTATGGTTTCTGCAATGGAAATGCGCGTGCAACTCGTTCAAAATACTAACATCGTTTCCCACCGAGAAAATAAACGGACTCACGTGCGTTTCCAGGCGACGTTTCGCCTTATAAAAGAAAGGGGTATGCACAAAGCATGCACAGAAAAGTGATTGTAAACACTTTATAATTCATTAATTAACACATTTGTTTTTGAGGATGTGTTCACACGCCCTCGCACTCGGGTAGCAGAAGGCGCGACACTCCTCTGGAAAACGCAATTATTAGTAGTGTCCGGGAATTCTCGCAAGCGAGCACAAGGCAAATAGCGCGCGAGGCATCACAGTCCCTCGCCTGGCGTACAATTCATGCCAAGAGATTAAGAGCTTTCCATTTCCAGCGGGTGCAGCATTTGCGCAGTACAAACTTCCAACGACGTTTAGAATTCTCTTGGTATTTCCTGCGCGAGTGCCTTGAAAACCAGGCAATTCTGAACCACGTTCTTTGAACAGCTGAAGCGTGTTTTACAAGAACTCGTACAATTAATCTGCACAATTTGTATGTGTGCGCCGAGGAAAATCTACGTGTTGCTCGTGGCGAAGCTCACCAAGAGGTTTATTGCATAAACCATCCAGTATTTCGTCCATTTCCTGGAACGCAGCATCTGATATTTTCTCCGAAGTGGCAGCCAAGTCTGCGACGCGCACTTCGCCGCAAGGGAGTCTGAAAGTAATCGGCAACCTAACGAGCCCTCGACGACCGCGGCCGGTCACCCGCGATCGGGAGCGCGCTGCAGGCTGCCAAGAACGACCGAGCGTAGACCGTAAAATCTCGTAAAATACAAATACCTAGGAAGAACGACGCCGCGACATTTGGCGGGAAACTGTTGAGTGACAAGTACTTGTGTGTATGTGAGCGTTTCCTTCAGCATTAGTGTGGTTTTGGTTGTACTGTGTGACTGCCGAGGTTTGTGTTTCTTGTCTCGTTTCTTATTGACAGTGATATTTGCTTTCTTTAGGTTTGTGAACGTTCTGGCTGCTCACCTCGTTCAGAAATTTTACTTAAATAAGCACTGTTCTATCAGGGTGCATACCTATCAAGTCGACGTATATATCGTGTTTTGACCATTACCCGCAGTGGCGTAACGTTCGGGCCCGCAAGGCCCCGCAGTACGGGCAGGTTCAGGTAAAAGAGGGCCTATTTTTAGGAGATAATAATAATAATTAGTATTATTATATATATTATATATTATAATAATATATAATAATATACTATATATAATAATAATAATAATTATTATTATTATTATTATTATTATTATTATTATTATTATTGTTATTATTATTATTATTATTATTATTATTATTATTGTTATTATTATTATTATTATTATTATTTAAGGTACTAACACTACTTGTGTTTGCTATGCACTTTTATAAAGGAGACCGGGAAAACGTTTGGTGGGTGGGCCCGCATTCATTTCGCCACGCTACAGCCCACGCGCCTTCCTTCATCTATCATTTGCCATCCTGAGGCGATAGTGCTTCCTTCATGACTTCGAAGTGTTCTGGACGTTTCTGTTAGTCTCAAATTTCAAGCATCTTTCTGACGAACCATTTTGAGCTATAGGGCCAACTTTTTTCTTTAAAATTTCTCCTCGTATGTAACGGATGGATAAAAATATGGCGCTATTCCGATTTTTGGTAAACTCTCCATAGTTTCGAAAATTTGAAAAATTACGTGTGTGTCGTTGAGTAATGAGTATCGGGCCGAGGGGTTACGATTTTGAACGTGGGGCAGGGAGAGGCAAGAATAGAAGCCTTGCCCGTACATCTTCCCACGCTCAGAGAGCAGGGGAGAGGGAATTCCCCTATGACCTACGCCTTGAGAAACAAGTGAACCCAAGATCGAATTCTACGTTGTCAACTGAAGCCCCTCTCCTTGACAAGGCGGTTGCCACGACTAAATCGCGTGGGATAGAGACTTGCAGATACATTAATTATATTAAGAATATCTCGTGACTCTGCCAATCACATTAAATTCGCAGCATTTCCGTGTTATAAAGATCGCCCCCCCCCAGGACATGAAAAACCGTTCGGTTTTCACGTTGGACAGATTCCATTTTATGCTGTGTAAAATACCATATAGCTTCACGGGCCAGAGAAATTTTCTGGATAAGGCAGGTTTCCGGCTTGTACAGGTTTCGGTTTAGACAAATTTAACTGTATTAGGATTAGAGAATAATGCTGAAGAACAGCTTACAGGTGATCTTGTATGTGCATATTACAAAAAAACGTACAAAATGTGTCTGTATCAAATTCTTACTCTTCGTATCATCCATACCTCCAAGTATTTTTTATGGCGATTACAATTTTGAAATTGCGATATTACCTGTTCATATCCCGTGTGGAGATAATCACAAGGTCATTGGGTGTTGGGAGTTTTTGAACGCGAGAATAACATTATCATCTACTACGATTCATTGGCAAGTCGAATGTCAGATACTGTAAGAACTTATTCGAACGAAGCTCCGCATGGCATTTAGAAATTTTCAACATATGAAAATACTTTTAAAACAGTTTACAGCGTTGGCGACGCCCCATTCAACTGGTATATCGTGTTTGCTTTCCATGACACGTGTAGTCAGAAACCAGGTTTTGTGGGACATTGATTCCAAAAAATTGATTGACAAAGAACTTTTTTTAATGATTTACGATCTTTAATAACATCTTGAAATAAAGTCGTGTACAATTTTTCGAAAATATGAAGTTCTCGCGCGACTTTGGGTGAAATATACGCCATTTTTAAATTTTTGAAATAATTTGCTCTCAAAAACGTCAATTAAAAAAAATCTTCACATGTGTCAATGAAAGGTTAAAAATTAGAACTGGTCTAATTTCCTCTGAACACTATTTAAAAAAATTGCAAGATAACATTGCAAAGCTACAAAATTGAAGATAAAGAGTTTTTTGACAAACAAAATCTATTCTAAAAAAAATCAGCTCTTTAAAAAAGATAACTTACAATTTTTTTTTGAAGAAAAAAAAGCCAGTCATTTTTGCAAAATTTCTGCTCAAAATTAATGCAATATATATAAAACACTTTTCTGAAAAAAAATATTTTTTTTTCTTTAAATTTGTTCCACGAATAGAACAAGGCATGCTTAAAAGAATAGAGGTCTCATTTTTGTTGAAATCTTTGCCTTTTCAAAAACTACCAAATTAAAAAATAGCGCAAAAGGTATGAGCAGTTGTATCTCCAATAGTTTGTTCCCAAAATATACCTTAAAATTATGCATCTTAACACTGAAATACGAGGTTCAATATGGAAATATGATATACACAAAAAGGAGTTAAGTGAGCGTATTCATTTACTTGGCCTGTTAAATCTTAGGTACAGTGAACAATGTCTAATGATGGTAATGAAAATTATTCCACCCAATTGCTTCCTACCTAGGCACTGCATAAAATACCTAATTTTTCTATTGGTAACATATAAACTTTAATCAGATATTACATTTTCAACAATAACAAAAAAAGACTTAAAGAATGAAAAAAGTAGGGCGTTAAATCTGGATCACAACAATTAAAAATACCTCCCCAAGGATCATGTACAAAACATTTTATTCAAAAAGTAAATACATCATTCAATACATTATAAAGTTTCTTTGTGTATCATAATCATCAATCCTAAATCAATTCCAGCTGTACTAGAGTATTCATGATACAGAATATTTTATTAACACACCAATTTCAAGTATTGCTCCTTCTCGCGACACTTGTAAAAGAAACAAAACTTGGGAAATTGAGGATAATTTATTTTGGAATTCAGGGTAGTAAATAACTTTATAATTACATTCAATGGTGAATGAGAGTGGGAAAATTATAAGACACTATAACAAATCAAATACTTCATTCATGATATCAATACATGACCTCACACAGCCAAAATTTAGAAGTACACATTTTCTACTTTATTAATCAGTGATACATATTCAACAAATGGGGAAAAAGTTACATAAAATCAAATAGTGTAAACATATCTTCTAACAAATAAAATAAACCAACTGAACAATAATATTTTGAAGTTCATGTTTATTGTTACACAACTACCACACATATGCCGTGTATTTTCCTAGAAACAAAATAAAATAAAAAAAATTAGGCTCAGAATTAAATGCAAATGTATTGGTGGAACTGCACTTTTAGAGAGAAATAATCACACCTAATAATTACTCACACCATACGAAGTTAAAAAGTGTTGGGATTCTTTTTGTTTAAAAATATCCAATTCTCTTTCTTTATTCATGTACCAGTTTCATGAAACGGTTTAATACATATGAAAAAGAAAGTTCCCTGACTAAAAATATCAGAAGTTACTGAAGAATATTTGTATTCTATATGCTCTCTACAAAGAGTTTGTACATAAGGTGTCCATACATTTTTAATCTCTTACCCTTTTGCCCAGCAGTGGCTGAAATAGCTCACTACCCCCTATGGATGTTTGCAATCATGACTATACCCCATGTCCCGTATTTCCTTTTAACTTTCTTGCATTCTACTTACCACAGGTGTGTGCAACATAAAAACGGAGGGAGGCTACTTCTTTGGAACTTACAATTTCTATTAAACTAGTTTACTTATATACTAATGTACAAATAAAACATACAAGGAGAAATAAATTATGTTTGAAATTATAATATCAATTGTATTATTTTATTAACAATTGTGTGTTCAACCATTTACTGGTTGCTATATGTTTTAGAGCTTCTTCCCCAAATTGTCAGCTTAAAAAGAGGAAAAATTGAGCAGTAAATATACCTATTTACAAAAATAAAATGTTTAATTACATAAGACTACAGGTCCCCATTCAAAAATTTCAGGGAGACAACTGCTCCCTTGGTCCCATGCTACTGATGTAGTACAGAAAAAGTATTGCAATGCTGCAGCAAAAATGACAGAAACATTGAAACAGTGTCCTTGATATCAAAAGAATGGATAATTCCTCCGTTTATATGTTCTAAATACTAAATACAGTGCGGTGTCAGAATCCATGTTCTGTGGGTCCTTGTCCAAAAACAGGTTTACTGTCCGTCTGTCTGTTTGTAAAAAAACGAAGAGGCTAAACTGAAGGCAGGATTTTCATCAAAATTTATATTCCCCATTCAATCTGGCTAATGTAGATTTGAAACAGAATTTTGATTCCTGGAGGTACTTTAGGTGAAGCCTCAAAGACATTCCTAAAATTTTCTCAAAATTGATTTAACTTTTTCCTCAAATACAAAAAAATATATATTTATAAAAATTATAGAGATCTTATTTTCATAAAACTTTCTGAATTTTTGAAAATTTGGTAAAATTTAACCTTTTCTGTACCTTACAATGAGAGAGATGGAACTCTTCCAACTCTTCAGCCTGTGGATGCCTTTTATTGGTGACTTATCAGAGATGATACATTCCAGTAAACATTAATATTGTAATTCTGACATCAGCATAACTTTTAACTATTTTTAAAAAATTGTAGAATTAAGGGTACAAAAAAACACATCTGCCAAAACATTGACACTACATTTTTGCATAAGACTTCCTATATTATTACCCGAATTTATAATTTATAAATCAACAGTGCCTTAAGAAAATACACAAAAGGGAACCTTTTTATAAAATAAAAGGCATTCATAAAATTAAAGAACTTTACACAATTTAAAACATTTTTAAATATAAAAAAATTTATATCAATTTGATTGTTAAATTCTTTATATTATTAAAATATAGTAATATAAAATCTAAAAGATAATTTCCTGGGTTCCCATTCTTTCAAGTTTAAATAATTGAAGTAAGTTAGGAACTGGGGGTGTTTTCCATACTATTATTCATGGTTTAAGAATATGCTGACAAAAAAGATTTTTTTGTATAGGATGTCTCCACAAGCAATAAAAAGTTATAAAACAATTGAGTCGCCATGAAAATCAGTCTTATATGGTGATATAGAAACATCTGGCAGTCAGATTTGATAGTGCAATTTGGTAGTTAGAGTGAGTTTGGGATTAGGTGTAGGGTGGTTAGAATGAATCTGGGAATTGGAAAATATAGCAATTCCAGGTAGGCTTCACTAAGTTGATATTGATATATGGCTCTCTTGATTTTATTGCCCAGATACATTCAGTATTAAAGAATTAAATTGTGTTCTACTATTCATTATAATGAATTATTAATATTAGAGTTTGATTTCATTCCTTCATGTTTGATGGGATACCACTAATATTATTTTCAAAATTGTAACGTTAATAAATCATCATCATCATCATCATCATCATCAAAACCCTTGGTTTATGAGTGTCCAGCTAGGGGGTAGTAAAACAGTATTCTTTTTTGTGGTGAAATGTTCCTGTGGGAGCCATCTATCCCTCTTGCTATTCAGTCTATAATTTAAAGCCATTCAATGTCCATTCTTTTCACATGTTTTCTCTACTTCCTTTATATATGTTTTGTTTCTTCTGCCAGGTTTCCTGTTTTCAGTTCTTACTTAATTGTATCATTTCGAATTTTATCCCTTCTTGTTACTCCAACACTGCCCAAAGAAACTTCATCTGAGCTATTTCTAAGCTTCTGGTTTCCTTTATGCCCACTATTCATATTTCTGAACCATACTTTAGCATTGGTTTTGATGAAATATGGATTCTCATCATTGTTTCTTTTCTCGTATGTCCAAATGTCTCTTTATTACTCCATTGTTTCAATTATATTTTTGTATTTTTTCTTCTATTTCCTTCTGGTTCACTCCAATTGAATTTCAGAGATATTTAAAAGTGGTGGCGTTAATAAATAAGGAGCAAATATATAAAATTACTCTACAAAGTTAACAAGTAACAAATAACCCGTGATTTACACATTGTTTTGAAGTTTTTTGTTTAAAGTTCAAAAATATCTTCATAATTTATTTCCAAAATGAATAAATTATGAAGTATTTTTATAAACATTATTTAAAATATATTTTTTTAAGTGTGGGGGCACATCCTGATGATGCCATCCATGCAACATGAGCAAGTTAATAGGTAAAAGTAAAAGAAGTTGAGGTTTTCTCTTGTTTCACTATTCAATCAGAATTATTTCAGATTTTTTTTTCTTGTAAGCTGCAGTTACTTTCCATTTAGATTTAATCAGTTATAAAATTCCAAATAATGTTACAAGAATTTTGAACTTGATATACAAAAATAAAACAGACTAATAATAGTTACCTTGGGGTCTTCTGTGAAACATCCTGACAACCGCCTTCGTGGTAAGTTATTCAATTTTAATTTCCGACAAGAATGAGTGAAGTTGTCACTTCCATAGTCCAGAGTTTTTGGAGAAATGCTTAATTTCTTATAACATGTTTGATAGGTGCCATCAATTACCACTAGAATTAAATTTGTATGTGGAATTCTCTTCAAGCAGAAAGGTCTGAGAAAAAAATCAATAATGACTAACATATAACTAAAATAAATGTAGAACTTACAATTGTATTTCAGAAGTGTACAAAATATTGTATACCTTGAACATGATTCTGATGTATGACAATAACCTTCATCAAAGAATGATTCTTGCATTAAAAGGTACAAATTAGTTTTCTGATCGCAAGGAAAGTATGTTTCTTCTTTAGTTTTATTCACAACCCAATCTGTTTCCTCGAAGCCTTTAATAACACAATAAAAAACAAATCACTTCCAACAAAAATTTAACACATTAAATTCAACAGAATAGTGTTTGTATTTCTACAAATTGAAAATGTAATAAGATGTTTGGTATACATATAAGGATGCTCACCCACACTATACATACACATACATACATCCACACCCTAAACAAACACCTCACTCTCTCTCAACGCATACACACAAACACCTGATAAAAAAAAACTTAAAATACACATTTTGAAAATATTGGCTTTCTTTGATGTCACTTAAAAGTTATTGTCTGAAATTCTCACCAAGTAACCTAGAACAAAAAAATTAGAATTCAAGACAAATAAGTGAATTTTGAGGGATGAAATTTAATACAATACCAAGTGGAGTTGAGTAATATTTTAATTCCATGTTATACTACTGAAAAAAAGTGAAATACAATTCAAAGAGGGAAACCAGAAATTAAATTCTAAAAATTTTCCACATAACATTCAAGAAAGTAGGTGTTGAAAAAAAGAAAAACTAATGCTATTAGTAATGCAGAAATGTTATAGAAAAATAATGTTTTGCAATAATTTAATTACATTAAATTTCTTCATAACACACAATTTCTGCAGCACAATTGCAGCATGAATCAATTATGTTAAGTAATATAGAAAATAAATGCAATAAGTTGGCACACTAGAAAAACAAATGTCATACACTTGAATAATTTGCCATTTTAATAAAAAAGGAAATGAAATGGAATGTTAGTAGAATCTGCTTCATTATAAAAATTGTACAACTTGGACAATTGTAAAAATGAAATGACAACATACAGAAATTACTATGCATTTCTAGAAATTTTGAAATAAATCAAAACATTATGATCACAAATTTTGTACGTGAAATATTATGAACAAACATGAAAAACAAAAGTATCCATTTTCAGAACCCGCCAGGTTTCTAATATACATTTAAAAAAATTTGTCTGTATGTTGTATTAACGAGGAACACAAGGGGAACATCTTTATTTGAAAACATCCTCACTTATTTCTTCATCTGGGCTCTCGATCTCTGGGCTGCTGTTATACTCGATATAGTCTGCACAAAATAATAATAACAATCTGGTTAAATAACAGAAGAAATCTACATGTTAATAATTCACATTACCAAGAGCTATAGTACTTAAAATAAATGACAATAAAGCGCAAAGAAAGTCAAAGATTGTTATGTTCTACAATACATAGTACTGAAGATAAAATACTAATTGCATAATAAAACAAAGAAATACTAATTCAAAGGATGAATTTATATAATTATTCTATCATCACAATAATAGAACAGTACAGGGAATGGAATAAAAAAAATAAAAAAAAGAGGTAAAATCTTTACCTTCAGCATCATCTTCACTTAAAATGGGATTTGCCGAAGCTGTGTACCACAAATGATGTAAGTTACTTTCTAATATTAACCATACTAATTCACTGAACATCCAATTGAAAAACAGACGAAGATGATGCAGTGGCTAAAAACACAAGATAAAATGTAAGAGTTTGTGATTCAAAAATTTTACTCCAAATTTCAACATCCCAAAATTTTTGTTACTGGAAATTATGCATCCTGAAATGCATGTAGGTAAGGGCTATGTTGCTGGCTGAAGTGGGAAAGGGTCAGTCAGAGCCAGTGAAGTGGACAACTGGGACCGAGAGGATGGGGTGAGCAGAGCCAGACAAGCTGGTGGAGTGCGCTGGCTGAGAGGGCAAGGCATGCCAAACTGAATGGGTTTGGTGAGGCGAGGAGAGAGAAAGAGAACAGTAAATGTGAAGGTACATAAATGCTCAGACAATGCCATGAAATTAACTAGTTTACATTAGAATTCTACATGAAAAACTCATTTCTTTATATATTCTCAATTCCAATTCACTAAAATTTAAAGAATACATTGGATAGCAGAACATTATTGAGAAAATGAACCATTTCCAGAACAAACAATGAAAAGTTGAGGTGCTTGGAATTTATTCTATAGAAAATACAAGCAAAAATAATAATAATAATAATAATAATAGTAGTAGTAGTAATAATAGTAATAATAGTAATAATAGTAATAATAGTAATAATAATAATAATAATAATAATAATAATAATAATAATAATAATAATAATAATAATAATAATAATAATATTAACAACCTCATGAGGTTCACAAAATAAACCATTTATTTTGAAGTATTATAATTTGTGAAGTAAAGGAATTCTTACAGTTAACAAGATAGATGCACTGTTAGCACCATCATCATCTTCATCTTTACACAAGGCTTGATAGTCATAGATACGAATCTTTTTGTAAATAGAAGCTTCCAACATTGCCTCCATTGCTGCACCTTCCACTTCACCAAAGAAACGACCAGTGTCATTGGCAACTTCAGAAATTATTATGTACCCATTGCTGTCCAACACATAACAATCCCATTCTGGTGATTCACAAGAATATTCACAGTCTGGACACTGCAATGAAATCAATAACAGTTTACAGACTCAACAATGTATTTTAATTAATAATACATACAATGTAAACAATTTTATTGATGAATTTTCTTCATATTTCTTTATCTGGAAATAATAAAAACTTAAACATATCAAATTTTGAAAAGTAATTTTGTTGTTGTTGAATTGTATTGCTAAGCAATAG